CATTTTAGAATTCATTTTAAAATCTTGGTACTGACTTTTAAAGCTTTGAATTATGATGCCCCTGCCTACATTTCTGATCTTTTAGAACACCACGCTCCCTCTCGCAGCCTGAGATCATCTAATCAAAGGCTGTTGGTAGTCCCACGAACTTGTTTTAAGACCAGAGGAAATAGATCTTTCAGAGCGGTGGCCCGCAGGTTGTGGAATGCTCTCCCTCCATTTTTACGTTGCCTTGATTGTATTTATTCTTTTAAAAAGCAGCTTAAGACTCTTAAGGCTTTTAATTAGATTTGTATGTTTGATTATTGATGTATTTTATGTATTTCTGTTTTTACATTACTGTGAAGCACTTTGTGGTTTTTATCCTGTGAAAGGTGCTATGTAAATAAATTGATTTGATTTGTTGTTGTTGTGTGAACCAGCTTCTAGAGATAACTGCTAGAATACCTCTATGAATGAAAGAAAGCTGAAAATGTCTGTATGGTACTTTCCAGAAAGGAGGTTGCATCACAGTGTCTGAGAAATTTCCAAAGAAGAGCTGCATTCCTGAACTTTGCATGTACTGAAGTACACCACAACACAAAAGAAAGCTGCTGGGGCTCTCTTATTTGTGCTTCCTGCCTGAATCAGTGTGCGGCGGTAATATGAGTGAATAGTCATTTGGGCATACGCAACAAGTAGACAGAGGCTACATGTGAAAAAATATAAGATTTCTGGAAAGTCTTTGGCCCAAGAAGAACAAATCATCCAATTTGAACAAAATAGTTCACTGACACTGACAACACACTCCTCAAAATTTTGATTTGGTTTCTTTCCCTATAACAAAGTTGAAACGCACAAAACCCAAGAGGAGAATTAGCATGAATTCAAATTAAAACCCTCCCCACTGCTCGCACAGTTTCTGTTTCAGTGCATACTTCCTCTCTCTGAGACGGTACTTCCCATCCTTGACTATACTTCCTGTCTCATTGTGTAGCTTCAGTGATGTGATTAGAGCTGTATATGTAAATGTTTTGATCGCGTTTGTGTATAAAAGGCTCACAGATAAGACCGTCTGTACTGTATACACAGTTTTTTTCAAGAGGCTTAATGTGTTGCATTTACCACAACAGAAAAAATATCGTTCCTCTTCCTCTACAGTCATGCTTGTTGGGTTAATTGGTGAACTTAAATTGGTCAGAAGTGTGGATGTGAGAGTTCGTGGTTGTCTGTCTCTCTGTGTGAGTCTTGTGATAGATCTGTCGCCGCTATATCAAGCCTGTTACCTAACCTGACCTTACAGTTAATACACTTTTAAGAATGAAAATTAGGTTGAGCTTGTTGCTAGTTGGTCATTTAATGCCAGATTCATGCCTCAAAAAAAATACATATTTTCTAAATGAAATTATTTGCTGAGTTATTCACTTATGTATTTATTTATTTATATTTTTAAATTTGGCTGTTTTAATCCTCCATACACACAGGCTGGTTTTATGCTCAGTAAAAGAAAAGTGTTCCCATGACAACAGACAAAACACCATAGTTGCCAAGTTACTGCCTGTATCCATGGAAATCTGTTATGTGGTGGCATCTAATATAGTTCAAAGAATCTCATTGTTTCTTCTTCTTGTTCTCAGTTTCACCTTGTTTGTTTACTCATGTTGCAAAAACAGCTTGGATCGTGAATCATTTTGACGGTGCCAGGCCGCAAATGAGGCGATTGCATGTCTGTAAGTAACATGATAGGATGTTAACACCATATGTTAGGTACGCCCAGCATCACCTGAGATGGATCCATGTGGGTGTAACTCACCATGTGCCTGCAAAGATCGTGGTTCCCCCTATTTCGTGGTTAAATCCTTAAATATTTTAAAACCACACCACTCTTATCCCTTCATAAAGAGCCAGCTAACAAGTCTCCGTAACACGTTGACCTCTGACTGGGTAAATTACAGGTTTTGATTTGCTGAATAAGATGCGGGTAATGAAAATTACTCCAATAGCTCCATCTGGTGGACAAGTGCAAAAAGCTTCAACATCTGGTTTATTATTTTAAGATTACTATTTTTCTGTGATTCTGCTAACACAGATCAGACTTATTGCCTTAACTATAGTGCTGTGCAAAGGTCTTGAAGGATCCCTCATTACTTTATATTTTGCTTGGGAAATTGGAGATAGGAGCAGTGATTTGTTCAATCATATGCAAACATAAATGGAAATACAACTCTCTTAGGCAAGATTTCTTGTAATTTGTTAAACCAGTCTTCAGGAATAGCTCTCCAGGCTTCTTGAAGCACTTTCTAAAGCTGTTTGTTGGAATATGGCTGCATTGTGTTTCATTTTCTGTTGAGATGATCCCACAGTGTATCAATAATGTTTAGGCCCAGGCTCTGGGGTGGCAGTTTTTTGCTTCAATTTTCATAAATCAAAATTTCACAGTACTGGCAGTAAGGTTTTATTTAGTGTTTACTTTGGGAAGTGTTTAATTGGCTATTGTAGTAAACAGAGGACGAGTGTCCCTGCATCTTTTTGCCTTTGTTAACTTGCTTGGTCTGATCCTGAAGCATGTCAGCTCCCCCACTGGAGATATGCTTGGCCTGTGATTTCACATGCAACCAGGCAGTGTATATGCTTTGTCAGTTCCACTCGTCAGTGGAATGACAGAGGCTGTGCTCAACAAACCCGTCTTTATAGCAACCGGTCCCTTTCGCAGTAGCTTATCTACATGAAAACCACATAACACAACACATCGAGCAAAACTATCAAAGGCTTCTGGGTCCCACACCACTTATTTGTGGAGAGATCAGGTTGGCAGAATGTACTTTGGCTAGTTTGTAAGTGTTTGGAAGGAGGAACTGCTATTTCAGATTTGTATGGTTACCAAGATGGTTGCCCCAAGCCACCTTAAGTAGAGAGAAATCAGATGTCTTACCAGTGGTAAAACAAGATAGGCAAGCTTGGAGATCCCATATGAGCCCAAAAGTAGCAGCTGCATCACGTTGATACTTGAAATAGGTATGCTATCAGGATGAAGGAGTGGTATCTCTGGCAGTAAGTGGGTAAAGTGGCAGTACAGCCAGCCTGTTCCACTGGAGGCAAAACTGGATAAGAGTAAGGCAAAGCCAGACTGGATGATACATATGATGCCAGCTGAGGTTTAGGCACTCAGCAAGAGTGCTAACAACAAATTCACTAATATGTAAGGACATTTCTACAACAGTCATACCAATGACAAGTGAAGTATATGGAGACTTTCTGACATAAATAGATAAGAAGACAATCATAGCACCATTATCTTTATTTCATTCCTCAGCGGTTACAGATGGAGCACAAGTTTAAAGTAGCAGTTATTAATAGTTTAGGGAGCATAGTGAGCAGTAATCGTTTGCAGCAGTATAGAGGCTCAGAGGAAAAACATACATCTACTTCCAGGCTTCTTCATCTTGTAGTGAATCCTTTTACTCCAGTTCAAGTTAACTCACAGACAGGTCTGTGTTGCTTTATACATTTTATATATATTATCCATGTTATACAAATTATATAATTTAAAAAAAGGCAGCACTTTTCTACTACTTGGCTCCTTTTTCTTCTTCTTCCAATAGGCAGGTTATGGCGATGGCCTTCGTCACTGCATACGGGTCACAGTTTGCTGCGGGACGGCGGTCCTCAAAGTACCCTTTCTTCTCTTGCCCCACCTGCCGTGGGATGCGGATGCTGGCACCTCGATTGGCCACTCCAGCAGAGAAGTCGTGGATGCTGGAGGTTTCGTGGAGACCTGTGAGGCGCCTGATGTTGTCCTTGCCTTCATGAGGGTCGTACACACGAATGTGCTCAGGGTGCTTTTTCCCCAGCTTATCGATAGCCTTCTCAATGTACCTGCCATCAAAGAAACATGTATTTTTACTGAAGTTTCCATTTATTACCATGTTTGAGAAGGCAGTATGTTGAGCATCAGTGAACAGTTGTTTAAGCATGATTAGTAAAGATTAAGACAGCATCACTCTTTTCTTCATATTTGCTTCTAAGAGGACATTATTGTAATTTTTAAATACAGGTCTTGAGCAACAGTTTTCCAGGTTTTCTGAAGGTCTTTCAAAGTTTTGCTCTGGATATTGACTGCTTTTTAAAACCATTTTGTAGTCAAGTCCTTGTATTTGATCATTTTCAGAGAATGTTTTATTTGGTTTTTTTGTTAAGCCACTGAAGACTTTTATCTATGAATCTCACTTAAGGGAATAACTTATTTACACCACAACTTAGGAAAGAACCAATTTAAAATTGTATCTTTGGGTAATTTGTTACTAGCAGTCAGTCACTTAAAAAAACACATAATTTCTTCCCGTTTCTTGAATCAAATTTATTGCATACATAGAGTATCCAATAAAGTATCTGGTGAGGGGATATAGTGCTGCATTTTATTTAATTTAAAGAAATACTTAAAATAAAAAATAATAAGAAAATACAAGCTGTTTTTAAGCTTTTCAAATGTGCCACTGGTCCTCCTTTTTGTAATAAAATGAAGAGCTTTTGTATGTGTATCTTTTGAAAGTTTGGAGTTTACTTACTGCAGTCCTCCTTCTTCCCTCATCTCCTTGGTGCTGACATTTGTGTGGCAACCAGTCCCATTCCAGTTGCCCTTCATGGGTTTGGGGTCCAGAGTTGCTACAACCCCGAAATCTTCACAGACACGGTGCAAAAGGAAACGTGAGACCCACAAATGGTCCCCCATCTCGATGCCCTCACAGGGGCCCACCTGGTATTCCCACTGAAGCCAGAGAAAAAGAAAGATGCAGAGACAAGAGGGAAATGTTCGAGGTGAAAACATTAACACTGTTAATAAATGATACGTTTAGCTAACTGCAATTTGATAGTTTTTTTTGACTGTTAGAAAACAAAGAAATTATAATGAGTAACATTTGCTAATCGCCTAGTATTTGCTTGGAAATCACTTGTGAATTATATTTATGTTTAATATTTATCTGTGTATTAAATTTCAGTTTTTTGAGCTCATCGGTGTTTTCTGCGTCATTGAGCTCATTTTTCTCTGAAGAATTTTGTTTTGTAATGTTGTTTTTTATATTTTTAGGTAGGTTGTTTTGAATGTTTTGGCTGCTGTACCAGAGTATTTCCCCAGGTTCTGGGATAAATAGCTTGTCTCATAAATATGTCATATGTTTGTAATATATAACAATATTTAGTCATCGTATTGTATCAAATTAACATTGTCTGAATTAACTGTAAAGTCATAACTAATGTTTGTATGTGGTCATTAAATACTGTTGAGCCATCCACTTTATTTGGACAGCTAATAAATTGTAAATAAAGTTGTAGCTGACTTTGTAGTCACTATAAACTATACTTGTTTTAAATTGCATTTCAGTAGGGAGGTTGTGCTGTTTTGCCTTTTGTTACTTTCTCTTTTGCTATCATTTTATTTTCTGTTTTAAACTAGCTGGTTAAGTTCAGGAATTGTGGTTCAAGTTTGGGGTGGGACTGTTTTCTTTATTGTGTGGCATCACTGGACTGTAGCAGCGTGAGTATTTCATAGAAAGCCATGTTATGCGTGGTATGTTGGGGAGGTGTACCCATCTACCCATCTTAATGTCACAAAACTTTTCTCGTCGACGCAAAAAGAAAAATGCAATGGCAACAAAAGAAATGTGATGCGACCTTTTCTGGGTGTTATAAAAATGAAACAAGAAGCTAAAAATCCAACTGGCAGAAATCCAAAGCAGGAGAACTAGAAGATAAGAATAGTTTTTAATTATTTCATGTTTTTCTGAATAAAACAACTCCGTGATGCCCTATAATGAAAAGGCTCATTGAGTAGTAATAAAAGATTTATTACTAACCAAAACTCAAGATCGCAGAAAAGTTAATGGCATAAAGAAACACAAAATACATTGTAACCAGTGATTAATAAATATTACATACATTTTATTAGCTATGTTTATTATAAAGTGCTACTGCCATGTATTGGAGTAGTACTTTCACTTACCTGAGATGGCATAACTTCAGCATTAGTACCGCAGATTTTGATCCCAGCATAGAGGCAGGCCTTGTAGTGGCACTCCACAATGTCCCTTCCATAAGCACTGTTGGCCCCCACCCCACAGTAGTAAGGACCTGAGGACACATGATGACACAAATGAAAAACCACAATATCAAGATACACTGTATGAAAACTGTACGACGGCTATAAACATTTAGGTTCTGAGCCTATAAAAAGTGCATTTGTGATGCTTGTTTTCAGACAAAAATTACAAACATTTACAATATGAAGTGTCTGAGAAATGATTTGTCTACTTCTTTTCTAACTTTACAGAAATCCTTTGCATAGCACTGACCACTGTGCTAACTTGAATAAAATAATGATAACATGTGGGAAAGAGAAGTGGGGTGCTCAGAGAATCTGAATGGATTTACAAGCTCCTTAAGAATGTGAAAGCCTTTGTTAAAGTTTAGAAACGTATCAGCTGTGCTAGTCTACTTTTGGTTTTGTTCCTTTTGTCTGATTTCATACCCTGTCATTCTTGGAAAGTGTCTGTTTTGTTTCTGAGAAATTCTGTCATTACCTCTGCTTCTCTGACTTTAAATGTAAATGTGTATCATTTTGTGGGATATTGCTTCACTCCACACTCTCCGTGACCCAGATAATAGCACAAGGATTTACCACAAGCTGGCAATGGGTTTGTCACTGCAGTATTTGTATAAAAAACAGTAAAAAAAAATGACAGCTCGGTTACCTTGGGGTGCTGGGAATCCATTTGGAGGCCAGCTAAATGGATGTCCATCTGTTCCCAGAAGTGTGTACTCCTGTTCCATACCGAACCAAATATGGTGCTCTTTGACCTTTTCCATCACTTTGTTGCAGCTTGCTCTGTGGTTAGTTTCTAAAATAAAAGTCAGAGCAGTCTATTATTATGATCTAAGACGATGTTAAGGGAAAAAAGCATGGACTGAAAAAAATGTACCAGCAGGTAAACGGTTGTACTTCAGGACCTCACAGAGAACCAGTTTATTGGGGTCAAGGTTGAATGGATCCCTGAACATGCAGACCGGGATGAGGTACATGTCACTGTTGGAGCCTTCGGCCTGGTAGGTGCTTGAGCCATCAAAGTTCCACTCAGGTATTTCTAAAAATAGAGACTTCTTATTACTC